TTTGATGTCTTCTGTTTTATTGTTAGCTTTGTTGTCTTGCTTGAGGTTTGGATCCTGTATTGCGATCAGTTCGAAATTCTCTTTGTTTTTGAATTTGCTAATGCATGCTAATCTGTCCTTTTCATGGTGAAAATGAATTGTATACCATCCATTCCCATTGTGGAAGTATGGTTGAATTAGATTGTATTTGTTGGCGGGAAGCTTGAAGATGTTTGCAAGATACTTAATCTGTTCTTCCTGGTTCTCTCCTGGTGTGTTTGCTATTAGAGTTTCTGCTTTATATGTCCCTTTTATACGAATGTGGTGAGGGTTTGTTGGATAGAAGACTCTGTTTCTTGTTGCATAGTCTTCCTTTGCTCTTATATCTTCCAGTGGATCGGGAGTAAGTGTTAGCATATCAGGATTTTTGTCTGAAGGAGATTGCTCTTTTATGACTATCTCTGGGACATGTGTTTCCTGGTCTTCGGTTATGTTTCCAGAGGTCTGTTCGTTCATGATGACTTTTGGTATTTGTTGTTCTTCATTTGTCTGCTTTGTTACATCTTCTTGATTAATGTAATTTTCCAACATATTGCCTTTACTCCTTTCAACTGACTCATGTTGATAGATGTGGTTATAGTTTCTTGTCTCGGGTTGTCCAGTGGATAGTGTGGTTTCTGGATCTTTGTTTTGTGCATATCGTGAATCTTGACCTGAATGTAGGATATCCACAATCTGGGACACTTGTTTTGAGTCTTCTAGCATGTATCTGTTTAGTATGTTCATGTCTAATTGATTGAATATCCAGATTTGTTTGATGTATTTTTTAGCCAACATCCATTTTACAGCTGTATGTGAATTGACATTGAGAAGTTTTGCCACTACTACATCTATGACTGTGATGTTTACTATTGCTCCTAATTCTGCCAGTTCTGATGTTGTATTTGTTGCACCATCTTCGATCAACGTATGGAACCATCTTTGTTCTCCTTCATTGTGATTGTCTTCAATCGTTTTGAGATGTTCTATTATTAAATTGACTATTTGGATTGGATTGAAGTCAGCTATTGTTTTGAACTTTTGCTAGGTTGATATGTGTGAACTGGCTTAATTTGCTGTTTGTTTGTTGCATGTTGATTTGCTTGGAACAGCTTATTGTGCAGTGTAGTTGTCTTTTTTTGGTATATACAATTGAAATTAACACGTGTTGTACCAAGTTATTTGTGGACTGCTTGTTTTGGTAAGCTCTGTTTGTGTTTTGTTGCTTTGTTTATAGTAATAGCATGTTCATGCTACTGCGGATCTTGCTTTGGGGGTAAGTTAATTTTGATAAACTTTGAATTTGTTGGGTACACGTGTTGTATTTTGGATTGCTATGTTTGTTTGTTTGGCAGTTGTTGATATTGTTTGGTTCTGAAAAGTACATGTTTGTGTTACTGTTGATCTTTGGGAGGGGATAACCTGTCTCTGGTTTTTTGTCTCCACCAAAAAACTGATCACGTAACGGATGTTGTTTATCTTCAAAAAATATTGAGATCTGTACTTTTCTTTTTAATTACAGTAATGAGAAAGTCTTGG